GTTTAAAAATTGAGTGGGAAGGTTGTTTTTTAAGTGGGCACTTTCAGGGCTTAAGTGATCCTCCCATAATAAATCATTTCATTTTCCATTTTCATTTGTTACACCCCATGTATAAAACACCTTTCTCAGGCAGATTTGCCTGATGCCATCTTTATTTTTGGCATGAGGTGAACATGTCTTTTTACCAGGCCTTATAATGCTGCATGCATTTAATGCTGGATTTCCCCCCTAAAAAACAATACTGAGTTGTAATGATGTTTATTGTTAGATTATATGGCTTGGATTACTTTATGTAAGCAGTTTTGAGAGGCTGTGTCAGCTGATGAGTGGAACAGAAAGAAAAAAATCCCTCTAAAATAGATAGAAATAGCCACATTGTTTAACTTGTAACGCGTATAGTCCAAGTGTTCAAAAGTCTGTGTTCATATTATTCTGGTGAAATAGGCATTGCATGTTACAGTGGTTGGTTTGTTGTATTGTATTGGCCTGTGGTCATTGAAGTATAGCGTGGCTCCTTTTTTTTTAACCCTGGTCTGTAACATACCAGTGTTATGACTGGGTCTTTACAAAATGCATGTCTTCACAAATCCCAGATTGTTTACTTGGCATGGAACCTGAGAATTCTCAGAGCAGGGATGATTTCGGTGTGCCTCTTGGCCTATTTTATGCAGGTAGCGATGTGTTCATGTATAATTAAAGAGATGGTTCAGAAGTGCTGCATCAAGCAATTCCAAGGCTGTTTAATTTTTAATGAGGCACCTGTTGGGAGTGGAGGCATGGGTGACATTCCTCCTTACCCAGCTAAGCTTTAATAATACGTTTTCTGTTCATGAAATGTGGTTTATTTGTTTTCAAGTGTAGTTTGCGGCTGAAGTATGTTCAATGATCAGGCAAGGAACTTCACCATTTCCTTTAATGCTATAAAAAGGTGTCAGTGGCTTATATATAATGCTTTTAAGTAACCAGATTATGCTACATGCTGTTTCTGGGGTTAATTGTAAACTGAAAAAAAAACATACAACATCTGTGGAGCTGAATTTGTCATTGTCTTTGTCTTTCTGCACTTCATATGCTTGAATGTAATTCTTTTCAAAGAAACAATTACAACACCGGTTGGTTGCGATTTATGTAGGATAACACAAATTTGCTGCTAAGCATGTCTCTTAGGAAAGAAAAATAAATTCTCTATAAATGGAATGGTAGTGGAGGCATCTGGAACATTTAATAACAACAACAACAACAACAACAACAACAATAATAATAAATTATTTTTATCCTGCTCCTCTGCGTAACGCAACTGGGGCGGCTTACAACTTTAAAATATCCATTCACATCCCACAATCCCGCCCCCCTTAAAATACAATTAAATAATGACATTTAAAACACATTTAAAAATAATAACACAAAGAACATAGATATTATCTGTTGTATCCTACTCTTCAAAACAATAATCCTCTCCTCCACATCCATCTAGGTTGATCTCAAAATGCATCTTGTCTGTTCACTGAGTGATAAGCAACTCATCATGGCATCTATGTACTGTCATGATTTTCAGGTATTACATGACATGTCAATGATGCATTTGAAGGAAGGGAGAAGAATGGAGTCCTGAATTGAAAGAAATCACACCCATTGTGAGATTAAAGAGGAAAGCCAAGTGTGAACACTGACTTCACTCCTGTTCAGTGCCTCTCAGATTTTTCCTTTGACACTGGGATAGGAAAAATGGTAGCTATCGGTCTGAAGGCAGTTCTCTGGGCTGCATCTTTAAGTGTAGCTGACTTCCTTCCAGGCACAATTCAGTCTGAGTTGCAGCAGTGTGGGATTGTGGGAAATGTTAAGTCACTAAAATCTTCTGGTGTCCAAAATGTTTGGGATCTGATCTCTTCTGTTTGAACTATGCTTAATCACCAACATGAAAAATGATGGCATGTTAATTTTACAGTATGTATGTAAAACACATTCTCTCCTTAGAAGCCAGGATAACTAAATTAAGGTGGTTGTGCTTTCGCCACATCATGTAATGTGACTCACTAGAAAAGATGGCAATGTTTGGCAAGACAGAGGGTAGCAGGAAGAGAGGAAGACCTCACACCAGATGGATAGACTCAGTCAAAGAGGACATGGC